ATACGACAAGTTGCACACGGTCTGCTCACATTCAAATTCAGTGCTGCAAAAAATGACAGCGTGCAACAAAAAAATCTTTCCTTGCAAGGGCACATTTTCGGCCATAACTCTTGAACGGCCTGGTCAGATCGAGACAAAAGTTTCAGAGATTTAGCAGCTGTTCATGCTCTTTCAACTGATGTAGCACTCGATATGAATTTACCAATTCGATATTTCAGGGAGCTTACGACCTGGTTGAGTGTACACGTACTGTCTGTACTTGTGTAATAGTGATGTCAATGCATGTATATGTACATGTACAGTCGTGTCCAAAGAAATGCGACCAAGGTGCCGAAAGCAGTGCCAAGACTCACGCGGCCTCTAAGGCCCTTGGAAGTAGGCACCGGTGGATTATGCTCGAAAAGCGGTGAAATTGGCAGAACCATAAAAAACCATATGGCGGGCAGTTCCTGGAATTCTGCTCCATTTTTTTATCCACATACCAAACATGCATGAAACGTACCATACAAACTTACACACACACAAAGTACCAAATTCTGCCGCTTTTCCTGCCGGCATAATCCGCCGGTGCCTAGTGTTAGAAGGCGCTTTTTTGGCCGGAGTATGGTGCGATTTGAATAGAAACGCAACGTAACTTCGGAGCCATTGCGTCGGAGGTCTTTGGCCACGACAGCACGAGCACATAGACGGTAAATCACCAATGGAGCTAGCCTACTTGTAGCGGTTACATGGCTATCCGCCAATCTTCAGACACCAATGATGATACTGGTTGAAAGTGCCTAGGGTGACAGGAGAGAAGAGATAAGGGCTGCCGTGGCAATTTATGCACAGCAAAAAGAGACGATGATAGCTGCACCGCCATACCTGGGTATGGGCGATAATATTGCAGTGCAATGTGAGGTCATAGCACGTGACATCTACATGTACATGGGCATGTACATGTATGGCAATGGCACCATAAATTTCTCAATACATCCGTATATTTCCAACACACGCGCGCGCGCACACATACACACACACGCACACACACACACACCGGCGCGCGCACACGCACACACACACACACGCACACACACACACACGCACACACACAATTCCAACGAGAAGAAGCCCTACACGGCTTGTACTCAGTAAATCAAACAGTCACAACTATAATTATGATGGATGATGATTTGTTTACACTCATGTACATGTAGGCTTCTTGCACCCTGATATGCTGGATTACAACACTGAAGTGCTCTCTGACGAGGGTACGGAATTTGGGTATAGCCTAAAAATATTCAAAATCCGCAGTCACGAAAAAGGCCGTCCGTATACTTATATCGATATTTTTTCTAGACGATATTTGTTCATAATCATCCAGAAGGGGCCGTCCATAAATATCGATATATTTTTCAAGACTGGATTGTAACATACATGTAATAGTTAAATAGAACTTGAAGCAGGTGTGAGGTCATGCTTAGCGTGGCGGCGGCATGCACCTACATGTAACCTACATGTACTATGAACAGTTTGTCCGGCATTTGGTCACGCGATGCTCAAAAGTCAGGTGCTCATCTAGTGTGACAACAAGATATTACTTAAGGCTTTGGTTGTACGTGTACATGTATATCAAGGCCTGTGCAAGTCAGCTTGAGGTCGTAGGGTACTGTAATACATGGTGTGTGCACTTGTATGCATGATATCGCTGGGTATAATTAATGTACATGTAGGTTGCATGAATAATATTCTTCCAATTTTGGAGAATATTTCTCTTTATTTATACGGAAGTCCACTATATTCCCGAATATGTGCGGGAAGTGGTGGCGGGGTCAGGCTGCTCTGCCGACCTTAATCACAGGTCTCGGCGTCTACGCAGACAAAGCGCGCCATATTTTAAATTTTTATGTTTGATCGGTCCTGGTTTTCAAAAGCATTTGGAACCGTAATGTAGAGCCGTGCATGTACATGTACATGCACGGTACATGTACATGTATGTACAGATGTAAGTCTTTCAACCAGATGGTTTTTCTTTCCACTATCGATCTGTATGATGAAACAGGATATTGGCATCACACAGGTGGTGTCTCTCAAAACAATGAGTATTGCCTTTTAAAGTTTTTCAAAACTGCTCAGCCTGGCAGGGCGGGTTGTTCTTGTGAGCAAACTGAGCGTGCTGGTGATGACGTCTTTTCAGGCGCTTGGCTTTGTGTACGTTCTGATCCTCATGGAGAACAGGGAAGTGGCCTGGGCACTCTTCTCCTGGTTTTTGCGCGGCAGGTATGGAGCAACTTAACTAATACTTGGGCGGTCCGGATCACTCGAGGGAGTGGCCTTCACACGGGATTGTAGAAATGGCTTCGGGATCGGTTTGCTCACTCGGACTTTGAGCATACGGCCCGGGTCATACGGCACGGGTCATATGTCGGCGATCCCAACCCGATCGCCAACGAGCCAATCTCCTGAATCTCACGCATAGTGCTATTAGGGAAGTGAGACTGAGAGCCGTACCTAATAGCAACCCAAGGATAAGCTCAGTGCTGACACTGCTGTCGCTGGTCTTTAAGATGACTGGTGATTTGTGTCGATGTCATTGCTGGTGGTCACAGTACCAGTGGTGCTGGACAAAATGGACAAAAGTTTAACAATACTTCAAATGGATTTGTGTGAAATGCAGTGCTCTCTTGAGTGTAGGCAGGTTGCCTGCAAACTATTCAAGCACAATGAAGCTGCGTGAAGCGTCCCTCAAGATTTTGAAAGGGCTAAACAAATTCACGTATTCTAGTGGCGAATGAACCCGCCGACATACAGAGACAGAAACGCGGCATGCCCACGAACAGACACAATGGTAATATTATGGCCTTTACCTGTGCAATGAAGGCGAAGAAGCTACATGACAAAAAATATTTTGTCTTCTTCTTCTCCTCTCTTTGTTATGGTCTATCAGTAGGAGGTGCATTCTGTAAAAAATAAAAAAATTATGTTCACTAAAGCAGTTTGCATTCGATATAGATAATATGTACGCACTCATGCCATCACACCACCGGGACAACAAAGACGGATTTTAATGTCGGTTTCATGTGACTGACTCTCATCAGAAATGTTCTTGGCACTGAGTGTTGTACTACAGTGCTTGCAACTGAAATCCGACCCCTGGGTGTTGTACTACAAGGCACCTAACAGTTAGGTTCAATAAAGTGAATAGTATTGGGTCCAAAACCAACACGAGAAACACAGCTATCCTAGAATGTCTTGCACTATAGAAGGCGTGATTACGAAGCTAGCAGTTTTACAGTATGTGAAGAGTGGAGATCGGGTGGGAAGTGGACAGGCAGACAGACAGAAAATAACATTCTACCTTACGGTGGTGAGATCTAGCGAACTATAAAGGTGACAGGAGTATATTGGAAACGAGAAGATAAAGGTGGAAATAGTGGAAACTTGCTCTGCACAGCAGTCAGACTGAGAATGAGCAAGAAGAGGAGTATCATGTATGGGATAATTATATTATTGTTAGAGCTATACTCATCTATTGACTGAGTTTTCGGCATGTGTTGTAACCCCACCACCCCGAAGAATGTAGGCACAGGCAAAGCTTCTGAACAGGTGGGAGGGTAATAGATCAGATCAAAACCTAGTGGTCGATTGTTAGGTAGGAATACATACATTATAATGACATGCACATGTACTTGACTTGTTACACCAGCCTCACCTTCTATCCTCTTTTACATGCACTACTAATACTATACTATGCGCTGTATTCATGTATTGTTCCCACTCACTTTCGAGGTTGACCTTAGATAGCACACTGGAGACCTTTTGATGCATTTCACTTTCAGCCGCACTTTTAGTTATCTACACTAACAGCTGTACATACATCCTAATGCCCCTTTCAACAGTTGTCCTCCTGGTATAATTGCACGCCTACATGTATACGATGTATTGTACACCCTTCTATTCAGTTCTTCCTCTACAACGTATTCCTCTTGCACAGGTGCCATGTCCCGACCTTTCCCATTCTTCTGCCCACACAATCATGTACCTTGTAGTTTGACCTTTCTTCTTACTTCTCTCTGCTCTACGTATCCCCTGACCATAGGCTAACTTACTTACTCACCCTATAAAAAGCTGCTGCCTTTCTAGTTTCCTACGGATTAGTTTCTTGCCGATTAAGATCAGTTCCTACCTCTTAGATTCATGCTAGAGAACTCTTTCTCTCTCTCTCTCTCTCTCTCGGAATAAGTGTCCAATTCTGTATGATAACCCTTATCCAGTACTGTACCCTCGTACTCTGCCGACTGAGCGAAACCGGGACCTAACATTTGGCGCCCAACGTGGGGCTCGAACCCACGACCCTGAGATTAAGAGTCTCATGCTCTACCGACTGAGCAGCTTTTATAGGGTGAGTAAGTAAGTTAGGCTATGGTCAGGGATACGTAGAGCAGAGAGAAGTAAGAAGAAAGGTCAAACTACAAGGTACATGATAACCCTTATCCAGTACTGTACCCTCGTACTCTGCCGACTGAGCGAAACCGGGACCTAACATTTGGCCCCCAACAGCGGTTCCGAAC